TTGCATTATAGTCCCCTAGCACTAAGGACTTTCCAAGAATGTCATCAAAACAAGATAATACTTGATACAAAACTAGGAATAATCATTCATACTTGAACAAACACTTTTCCAAAATGAAACAAGCAAAGCCTTTATCAAAACATTAGAAAATAGCTTTATTAAAAATACCACTCACATAGCTCTTCGGGTGCGGGGATTAAGGCAGGAATCCAAGACCTACAAATACATGGCAAGGTCCACTGAACGCATTTCAAGAAGACAAGACGAAATGCTCAAAGATGGTTGTGCAATGCATTCCTAAAACAAGCTTTTCATGAGTGTAAATGATCTCGACATTTCTTTAGAAACTAAGTCAAGATAAAGCAAAACATGTGCTGGGGAGTTAAAACACTATTTCTCATCTCGGGAAGACATGTTGGGTACCAACCAGGTCTTGGCCAAGGTCTCACACCTCTTGGCCAAGGTATGGTCTCCTAGGCCTAGGTGCGCATGCAAAGTAGACTAAAGTGCAGGTGATCATGCAAGGTAGGCCAAGGGGAGATACGATGCTTGGCCTAGGTGTGAGATCTAGGCAAAAGTGGGTCTCAGTGACAACACTTAGGGAAATGAAGTCTGGAAAATTTGGGTTTCCTCTTGAAGAACATGAAGAACATGAACATGAAAAACATGAATGCTGAATTCATAACTTGTTATTACAAAATCTGAGATTTCATGGCATGAGTTCAAAAACATGGACCTGGGTACCCGTAGTTGAAGATCTTCTTGAAAAAAAACACAAAACATGGAACTTGTCATAAACTTTTGGATCAAAACAAGGCTTTTCTTCAAGAACACATGAACATCATTTTCTCTTTCTAAAACCAACTTCAAATCAATGCATGGCTCATGGATCATGCTAGATCATGCAATGTGATCAAATAAACATAAAGAACAACAAGAGTAAATCAAGAATTTAACCTCAAAACACGGATCAAACGGTTCAAACTCTAAGGATCAAGCTTGGAAATCTACTTCTCTCAAGAACTCCTTCCTCTTCCTAGAGCTTCTCTCTCTTCAAAGGCAAAGATATGACAAATGATGTGGGTTTCTCACTGCTAGCTAGCTTAACCCTCTACTGGGACACGTGGCATCGCCGGATTGGATCTCCTCAAAAATGTGTCAGAATGAAAAGACAAGAATATGACAAAGTGTGTACAACAAGTAAGATGACATGGGCACTCTAACAAGGTAATGATCTCGGATTAGGACATAGGCTTCGGGCAAGAAGGTTTCGATGATCTCGGCTAGGAAAGATAACACTCGGCCTAGCTGTGCCGCACCTCGGCCAAGATATGCCACACCTCTGTCTAGGTCATACCAGTCCAGGAACAAGATCACTAGGTGCAAGGATCAAGGATGTTAGTTTCCTAGATGATAACATCTCGGCCTAGATGATACACATCTCAGCCTAGGTGACGCACACCTCGGCCTAGATGATGACATCTCGGCCAATATGCTAGGGTAAAGGTGGAGGTCAACCAAGGTGGTTCCAAGATGGACCTAGGTATAAGAGGTTCAAGGGTGTGACCTAGGCTACGCACACCAAGCAAGGAACAAAGCATACAAGCAATACTCAGGCAAATCACATAAGCACAAAACAAGACAGGGACCTTTACTTTAGGCAAAACAAGTCAAAATCTACAAATGCAAGCTTAACAAAACCACATCATGCAGATACACATGAACATGGCCAAGATGAGGATAGGGGTCATTACACCCCCACTCACGTTTTTCCATGTCCAACAGCAAATTGTTTTCCCCTTGTTAGGGTTGCTGCTATCACCACCACCCAATTGATCATTCTGACTACTACTATTAGTCCCACCACCAGCCTCCTCTCTTTTCACACATTCAATAAGAAAGTGCCCCTTGTCTAAAGGTCGGACTGGTTTGTAGAACCTAACCTTGTCTCTGGCTCCCAACCCGTGCTTATTCACTAACCAGTACCACCTATCAATAAGCATGTAAGCCTTTTTGTTTCGAGCCAAAGTGATTATAATGGGCCAATCCATGTTTTCAACATCAATGAAGTGTAGTCTTATTGCACCAGATATCTCAATTCCAGGGAACTGATTTCTTGCTTGTTCCTTGTGAAGGTCAAGGATGTACTTAAAGGTAGAGGTCATTTGCTGCCGAAATAGAAATTTTTTAGGTTTGAATTCAGGAGGGTTATCCCTTCTTCTGACATGTTTGATCAGGAAATGGAATTCATGTAAAGGTGAGAGAGGTCTGTAGAAGCGAATCAGATCCATGGCTTCCAAATTGTGCGTAACAACCAACTCGTCCCACCCTATTTCGATGAAAAAGCTGTTTGCCAAGCGAACGTAGACAATTGTCATGTTCCAATTCTGGTTTTGAGTGTCGAAATTTTCAATTTGACCCTTATACCAGTCCTTATAAATTGGTGCAGGAGGAAATGCTCAGCTGCTGTTTGCTCCGGAATGTAGAGCGTATATTCAATGTCATCTTGAGTCAACTGTAACTCAAACACAAAATCTTCCATGCGAAATTGACCATCTTTGTTTTGTAGCTCCTCATTGGACCTCTCAGATGAACTTAAGCATCCTCTACAAATGGGAAAAAGTAAAAATCCTAGTTATACATTATTTGGTTGTTAAGGGGGGAAAAACGGAATAAAAACACTATCAAATTGAATACTGAAATTGTTATGCAGAGATCATATGGTTTCAATAACCAAACATCTCTGAAAGGCGAGAAAATACAGTAACTCTGAGAGAACAGTAAATGAATCCAATACACCTCACAACAGAAACATTCACCCTAGACCTAGTGATCTTTCCACTGAAAAAAGTGATGCTCCGTGTGGCCGAAAGTTTTATGAATATCCTTTTTACTTGCTGAGAAAAAGGAAAGGAAAATTGGTGGGAAAAAAAAAACAAAAAAACAAACAAAGGATTTATGATCTTCTTTCATCTAATTATACCATTTCAAGGTTTCTTCTTGTAGATCTTGCTTTTTAATTTAACATCAAAATCTTTATCATTCCAATTGGCATAAAAGATAGAAAAACAAAGAACAAAAAAGATGTCAACCTGAGGTCTCTATTTGATTGCCGAGAAAAGCCAAGAATTGGAACGAAGAAGAAAAAAAACCCACAATGTTCGTTGAATTTTATATGTTCTTATTCATTGCATGCAAGTAAATTTATCAGTATATGTTGCATATGTGCGTATATAAACACGCATTTGTGTGCAAGATACACAGAAGAACAGGTTCAAGAAAATCAGGAAACAAAAGCCTAAAAATTGAACAATTTCTAGGTGAAGAACAAGAAGTTACCCAAAATTTGAAGGTGAGATAGTGAGTTTGTGGAAGGGAAGATCAACGTTTCCTTCTTTGGAGACTTGTTCTTGCTGAACATCTAAGTCCTTCATCTTTTTCCCTTTTTTATGATCATTGTCTCTGCTTCCAAACATTTTTATTGATTGTTGCTTGAAAATGGAGAGAGAGAGAGAGAGAGGGAGAGAGAGAGATTATTGATTGTTGCTTAGAGAGAGAGAGGGAGAGAGACAGAGAGAGGTTTTGCTGTTAGGTTTGGAGGTGGTAAATATATATAGCTGCTGATGATAATGAGTTTGTAGCTTTGGAAGTTTAACTTCTGGGGTCCAATTTGACAGTTTGAATATGATCTGTTATTTGCAATTGACTTGGGGGTTTGATCACTGCTTCCCAGAAACAAGAAATAGTTGCAAGTTATCAACAATTATCACATGGATCTAAAACACCAATTTAATTATATTGATTACTGGTGTTTTGTGGTTAATTTTAATGTTTTTGAGTGGTGTAAATACATAACTCGTTATTAGATGGATAAAAAACCTGGGATAAACACATATGCAAGACTCTACATTGAAAAAAATATTGTGGGGTCCAAATTTAACTGTAATATCATAAGATTCACACTAAATAAATATGAATCACACTTTTCACTACTACAAAACTAGATAAAGATCACATTTTTTCGTGTGATCTATGTTGGCGGTGTTTGGCAACTAGGTTTTCGGGTTTTTTTTTTGGATTTTTTTCACTACAAGACAAATGTTTTACAAAACCAAAAAAAAAAAAAACAATCGAAACAAAATATCACATCAAACCCCACAATCATTTCACTTTTTCTCTCACAAACATCACATCCAACCACAAAAAAATCTAACTATCTTCCCAAACACAAAAAAAAAAAAAAATTCTCCAATAATATCCTACAACTAAAAAAACCTACAAAAAAATCTACTTCCTTTTTTTGGGTGGATAATAATAATAAATAAATAAATAAAATCTACTTCCCAAACACCCACATTGTTTAATCGCACTTTTTAAGTTTTGTCAAAGCGTGATCTTTGGGAGTGTGATTAAAAATAGTCATTTTTAATCACACTTTTTAAGTGTGATTAATAACATTTAGATTACATCTTTTAAGTGTGATTAAAAACTAATAAAACCTGTGATAATAAACGTTTAGATCACATCTTTTAAGTGTGATTAATAATATTTAGATCACATCTTTTAAGTGTGATTAAAAACTAATAAAACCTGTAATAATAAGCATTTAGATCACATCTTTTAAGTGTGATTAATACCTAATAAAACCTGTAATAATAAGCATTTAGATCACATCTTTTAAGTGTGATTAATACCTAATAAAACCTGTGATTAATAATAAGATAAGATCACGCATTATATGTATTTCTCATCACAGTTAATGCGTGTGATAAAAAAAGAATTCGACATATTTAAAGAATAATCAATATTATTTTTGTACACGCATTTCAATAATGTAATACATACTATATATTATACTTCGACTCACAATCACATTGAATGGAATAATGTCATATATTTCATAAATGAAAGTTAAATATATTCAAAAGTATATACAAAGGAATTAAATAAAAGTTTTAAACTGTGCTTACATATATTAAAAAATATAATAAAAAAAACTTGAAAAACTAAGTTCTTGAATTCTTTGACCATATTTTGCATCTCTCCAAGAAATTTCTGACCTGAAAAATGAAATCACAAATTAATTTAGAAACCGCTATGAAGAAACTAACTAATTGTAGAGATTGTTTTAGTCTTACAAAAGATAAAGTCTGACTGAGAAGGCTACTGGTAAGAAATTCACAAGATGTGTGTTTGGATCAAAATAATTGAGATTAGAATTGTTTTGATAGAAGGTTAGCAACTCAGGCTTAAGTCATTTAAAAATTAATGTTACATTAAAACTACAATTTTTAAAGTCTAATGGCTACTGGTACTACATGGTTAATAACAATGGTGTAATGTAAAATTAATGTAATGTAAGAATAACATCAAACTACCAAAAATAAGAAAATAGTTTCCTTTCCAAAATTATGAAGAGTTGATGAAACAAACCAGATAGGATAACCTTCATAATAGTACACAAATGTATTTTCTCCATAGCATGTTATAGTTCAAAATAGAACAACAAAAAAATATATATATGAAATGCATTGAACAAATGGAAAATGCTACACTCATAAATAATTATATGCAAACTTATCTATAACATAAAATTTAGTGTTGAAATATTCTATTTTAATGCAATCAACCATGTAGTACTAGTAGTCATGTTGACAGAAACATCCATTAGAAGCATGATATTCTAGGTCTAGGCATTTAATTATGTAATGGCAGAGGTTATTGAGTCCCCAATGTAGGATTCACTATGCAGCAAGATCAATCCAAAATATAATTAGAAACAAAATTACTATAGGAAAATACATGTGAGCACCAGATAAGTGTGCCAAAATATAGGAAGCCAAAATGTTGTCAATCCTACCTGCAGCAGTTACAGATTGAGGTGGTTGAGCGGCATTTCTCACTGCAGTAGAATCATCCCAAAGGCATATGTGATACATAGATTGTAGAGTTCACTATGAAGAAACATCAAACCAAAATATAAATTAGATAACAAAATTACTACAGGAAATACAGGTGAGCACCAGATAAGCGTGCCAAAAAACAGGAAGCTAGAATGTTGAGTTAGAGTGACACACACATTCGCAAGAATTATTGCATGAATGTTAAATCAAATATCATTATACTCAATCTCTCCATACAAAATTTTCCAACATGTGGTGATATGACAGTGAATGTGTTTGTTAGCAATTCATAGTATTGCTTTCGTAATAATAATGCATGGGCAAGTCATGAAAATCATAGAGAGAAATTCACAAGCTAATAAGATCAATAAAGTTAGTACCTGTGAGCTTTGAACTTTAGACTTGAATTTGAACAAAGTGGACTCCTGAATCATTACACTCTACAAAAAAAACACAAAGCACCCACAAAAGAAAGTCAAATTAAAATAAGAAAAATTTCTAACTTTCAAATAACCCAAAAAAAAAAAAATCATGAATAGATCAGAAGTATCATACTTTCTGCATTTCAAGCTTGGAAACAAAAGATTGGGCCATATTTTCCAAGCTGTCCTTCAAAACTTCAGTAACGACTTAGGCATGTCAAACACTTGTTCAGAACAATAATCAAAATACAAAAGAAATTTACTTCTACAAACTCAAAAAAAAAAAAATTCTTATCACCAGAATCAATTCAGTTAGTTTCATATCCATTTAAGCAATACTTCCAAGGAAATAATCTTTGTCAACCTCTATAGACAAAATTTTAGAACTCAACTCAATGCAAGAAGTCCTTAGTCTCAACTAAAACCTAAGTTCCACAATGTTTTAGTAACCACATCTGAAGTTTGAGCATAAAAGAAAATTGTTACTTAATGAAAATGGTATAACAATCAATCAGTTACGGAAATCAACCTAGTGGCGAGGAGTTTGTGGTATTCGAATGCCTCTTCCTTGGCCTTTGCAATTCTCTTCTTCTTTGAAATCCTAGCTTGCTTCCTCTGCAGAGTCAGTGGAAAACACAAGCAACACCCTGAGCAATACTTAAAGTAAAATAGACTTCAAGTAAGAAAACTACCAATGGAAATATTCAATATCTAACTTTGTAGTAGTTAGGAACCTAAACCTGAATATATACTACATCACTAACACATCATCAATGTGAACTAGCCATCTACTAGATGCAATCTCAAGTAGGCTAAGAATTTCTTATTTCAATACCTAACTTTACAGTAGCTATAATAACCACAGAAGTTGTCCAATTTCCAATTTCTCGGTCTTGAAGCTCAGCCAAATGGATGCTTTAATCTTCCACCTTTGCAATAGGATGCTCAACATCTAACATCTTGAGTATTATAGCACCATCATTAGTAATTGTTACATCACCAATATCATCAACAAGCATTTGAAACACAAAATCAACAGATGAAGTGTTAAGGCATATGAAACCCTCCCAAATATTTTTCTATATTCCAAAATGTATGCCATGAACAACTTATAGCTATGTCTAAGAACTTTACTAATGGGACATTTTTGTCATAAATTACCTTGATCAGCAAATTAAACAAATCTATAAGTTAGATGGGCACTTGTACATGTAATTATAATAGGAGTTGGTTCTAACAGGTAACAACCAAATCCAATTCCTTGGTAACTCAGCCTTCATATATTTCATTTCATCAATCTGACCAAAAAAAATAAAAACTTGAAAAATGTTACATTAATAACAAATTAATTGTCATGTGATGCCTAAAATTTTCATATTAACACAAGGGCATATACTCTTTACCAAAAGACCAAGTTACCCCACCTACTAGTGAGTGGATAGAGAGTGGGAGAGTGTCCTTCTCGTGTCCTTGATGAAAATACCTGGAAGTGAGAGCACCTACAGAGCACTGAAATCAGTTTTATGCATTAACTATTACATAGAGCCATATTTAGAGCAAAATCAAGCTTCAATGATTCATATTTACTTAATGCATATTTTGCATATACTTATAATAATAGAAAGAAATTTTAAACAATACAAGAGGTAGCGCAATGGTAAGTGCCTCACTTTTTGAACATGTTAAAGGGGTTGCTAGTTCAATTCTCAATCCATTCACCGCACAGATAAATGTTTTAATTCTTATGTCTGTTTAACTCTTCTCAACCCACCAAATAATAGGATGCTTGCAAGTCTACAATAAGCCTGGTCAAAATCCATAAAATATTCAACTAAAGAGTGGCCTGATATTGGATCGACACTCTTACTCATCAATTTGTGCTTTGAATTTTTTGAATTGCTGAATTCAGCCCAAGTTTGTGAAAGCACTATTAAGAGTGCATTACATAGTGCCATGGTCCTATTTGGACAAAATGGAGAACTTGAATCCACAATGCAAAGTTTGAAACTAATCCGCTTATATTAAAATAGAAACACAACCAACAAATTGTCTACGATGTGATCTCTAAAAATAAATAGACAAGGTGGTACAAAAGAAGGCCAATGGCTGAAAGTACATAGAGCCCAATTCTCAAAGAGTTTTTTGGCTCCTTTACTTGTGTTTTTAGTAAAGGGTGTGCTTATAAGTGAGAGTTGAAGCTCAAGAAACCAGAAATGATTAAAACTCAAGACTCGTTCCATATAATTAAGAAGCCTAACACCTTCTCAATAGGGTCGAATACTTGCACAGTTCTACTTATTTTCCAATAAGAAAACTGCATAGAAATTTTGGAACTTGTGAAGTTGAATTTTCTTTTGGTAAAACAACAGTAAGAATTTGGTATACTATTGGATTACTCATACCATTATGGCTTTACACTATTGGATTGATCAAATTAATTGTGATTAAAATATCAATCTAATTTTTTTTTATCACACTTCCAATAAAAGTAAGATATTTGTATTTGTCAAAGTGTGATCTTTAACTATTTTTGTAGTAGTAAATACAGATAAAGAAAACAGTACATACACATTACCCCCTCAAATACACTTCACAGGTTTTCCATTCATTAAACAACAAAATTACATCCTTGAAGTACATACACTTCACAAATTTGCCATTCATTGAACAACAAAATTACATCCTTTCTAATCACCAACCATGTCCAACGTTAAAACAAAAATTATAAGTAGTTACTCACACAGCTGCCACATATATCTCTATACCTCTACACACACACACACACACACACACACACACACACATATATAATAAATCGCACAGATAGAGGCATAAACATTTATATAATTGCAAAAATGAACCGAGAAATAATATGTTCCAAAAACATCACACTAGCATGCTCAAATAACCACATAACCACATCCAAATATTTAGTTCAAGTAATGATATCACCAAATTCAACACCTATTTTTAACAATTAATATATAAATGGGCAGCAAAACAACTTGCTTACCAAAGACGTTCAACTTTAGAAACATGGTCATAATAATAGACAAACAATGTATCACAAAAGGAAAGATTCATCATTTTTAATTAAGGGGTTTGAGCACGTACTACAGAACATCAAAAAGTGATCTAACCACTCCAAAATAGCACAATGTCAACAACTTTAAAACAATAATCATGGCTACAGACTTCAAAGATTTGAAGAATGAGTGCAAGTGGCAGTACATCCAACTAAATAAAAAAAGATAAAAAATCAACTTATATTGACTTTCATTATTTGATCCCCTTTACCACCTTAAAAAGCAAACTTGTCATGCAATCAAGATAGAAAATTCAACCATTAATATTTGGTGTAAAATAAATCTACAAAACAGAGGCACAGAAAGAGTAGATGATTTGTGCCATGTCAATCATCCATCACTAGATTTCGCAGAAAAAAAAAGAATATAAATAAGACAAAAAAAAAGAACAAATCAGTCACTTTTGGACCAAGGCCAAAAACAAAACATCTTCCTTGTATGATGTATACAATAAGTAATAAAGAAGTAAACAAGATGTCCTCAAAGACTTTCTCAAAAACGAGACCATAATTATCATATTTATAGTGATCCCAGGCTTACCCTTGTTGTGCAGTGATCCGGACATGTGTCCGTGAATGTTGGTAGTTGTTTATTTTCTAGTTTGCATCCTCTTTACTTTGTATATTGAGTTATAAGATGCGTTGGGCAGGTTTGTTACAGGTTGGTTGCGTTTGGGAGCCTAGTGTTGCTGCCCAGATTTTTGGTCCTTCGCTCGAGCGAGGAGTTTGTCGCTCGAGCGAGAGTTGTGTTGCACCGGTTCTGGACCTGAGAGCTGTCTTTCTTGGCTCGAGCGAGCTTTTCGTGGCTCGAGCGGTCTGGGTTTTTCTTCGCTCGATCGAGAACTTCTTGGCTCGAGCGAGAGTTTTCTGTGTCTGGTCGCTCGAGCGACCAATCCTTCGCTCGAGCGAGCGTGTTTTATATCAGCGCACAGCAGCGTCTAAAACATCACTTTTTCACTTCTTTTCTTTGAGCAAACCCTTAATCCGACACTCTCTCTCTCTAAACTTGCACTCTCTCTAAGGTTTGATCTCCCTAGGGTGTGAATCTAGCCTAGGGCCTTTGTTAAAAAGATAGAGGGCGTTGTGCTCTTGGAATCCCAAATCGAAGTGCCTTACTTCCCAGCAAGTGAAGGCCGAGCATCAGAGGCCAGCGGGTTTGTTGCAACCCTTGCCTATTGCCGAGTGGAAGTGGGAGCATGTCACTATGGACTTCGTTGTAGGTCTTCCGAGGACTCAACGGGGTAGTGATGCCATTTGGGTGGTTGTAGACC